TCTTGATTATTATTAATTAATGGTCCAATTTCAAGTTCCTGCCTTGATGCAAATTTGTGACTGTTGATGAGTTATTAGCTGTTTGATTAACAAATTTAATTTATGGCAACGCAAACGAGCTTGAAACTGGGCTAAGGCTATAAATTTCGTCTATGAATAAAGAAAAATTGTGCTTTTAGTAGAGTCGTATCAATAATTAAAATAAAAAATCAATCAGCATTAAAAATCAAAAACCCCTTCTATTTGAATCAGGAATTCCGTTACCGTCTGTCGTCTAGTGGCGATTTCACTAAACGAAATTACTGGACTCATCGTTGTCAAATTTTAAACGTATTTGGCCTGATGGATCGTCTTTCATAGACGAATAAACTGCAGATCAGTTTTCTTCTAAATATGTTCCTTTAATGAGATATTTGTATGCAAATTACTTCAGAAGTCACAATTAGTCGGTGTAGCTTCTGGACCAGTGTCCTACGAACTGTGAAAATCTCATTATTAAGATTACAACCTTAACATAAGATGGCGGCCGGAGACAAAGACGAGCCTAACCAGCAGCTCTGTAAAAAGTGCAAATTAAAAGTAGCCTCGGGCCTAAAGTGTTTCTTATGTGCATCTTATTTTCATCCAAGTTGTGCTAGAAAATGTAGTGATGTAAAAATAATAGGTGCCACACTAATTTGTTGTGAAAAACCCGTCGAATCAACAATATTGACGAATGACAAATTTGAGGAAGCTCTCAACCATGAAGAACTGCCAACGTTATTTAAATATATCCTTAAACAAAAGGACATCATTATATCCGAACTTCAGGAAAAAGTAGTAATCCTGAAGGAGCAAATTGAAATGCAAAAACAAATGAACACATTAAAATCCATTGACCTCCAAGCCGATAGCGACAACCGGCTGTGTGAGAAAAATAACCAGCAAGATAAGAGGAGCTCTTCAAAAAAAGAATACGAGTCAATAAATGAAAATAAACAACGATCAGCTGACATGAAAACTTCAAAACTAAAATTAAAACAACCATCAGCTGAACCAGGAACATCGAAATCAACTCCGTATGCCAAGCACAATCAGCAACATCAGTCTGAGCAGTCTGAGCTATCCCAAGAAGTAACATCAGGACTAATTGAAATTCAGCCTACTCAACCTATTAACACCAATGAAAGCACTACATGGACTAAAGTCACACAAAAACAAAAACGGTTTACGCGGACATCTCATATAATTGGTAATAACACTCAACCATGTTCCATAAAAGTAGCACCAAAGAAAGGCTTCATATATGTATCAAGGTTGGCTCCAGAAACAACAACATCGGACCTAGCCGCCCTTCTAACACCAAATTTTCCAGAAGCGACGATCCAAAAGCTTGATTGCAAGCACCCTGAGTTTTACTCAGCTTTTAAAGTCACAGTGCATTTGCACAATTTCGATTCTGCTATGCATCCCGAGAACTGGCCAAAAGGATGTTACGTGACCCGTTATTTTCACCGGGGGAAACAGACAAAATCTCCCAGTTAGCCGCCTCTCCGCATTTTTCCTTATTCCATTTGAATATACAAAGTCTGCGGAATAAACGCCAAGAATTTGACTACTTTATTAACGAATTGGCTCCCACAGCCATTGCAGTTACCGAACACTGGCTAAACAAAGACGAAGTGTCCTTGTACGGACCAGAAAATTATCAGCTAAGTAGCGCCTCTTCACGGAATAACTCCAAAGGTGGTGGCACCGCAATATTTGTAAAAACATCTACGTTCGACACTCAGCCCTTGAAGCTGGAAAAGCCCATTCAGGTAGAAGGAGACTTTGAGTACTGTTGTACCACGATTAATGTACCTAGTCAACAAAGTTTTTTAATCGTATGTATTTACCGTTCTCCCTCAGGAGACATAAATGTTTTTCTTGATAAATTATGGGACTTATTGCAGCAACTTGTTCGTAACTCATTGAGACGAGTAATAATCTGTGGCGATTTCAACACAGACTTCTTAACAAATTCAAGCAGCACTGAGGCTAAAGACGTACAGCAACTTTTTCTTAGTTTTGGACTAACACCTCATGTTAATGAGCCTACACGGGTAAGCAAAACCTCGAAATCTCTTATTGACAACTTTTTTAGTAACGTTAATGACGATCTAGTAGACTGCACTGTCATCAAATCTTACTTATCAGATCACTTCTCACAACTTTTAAGAATCTCTATTGAAGCAAGTAAGTCAGAAAATCTACATGTCTCTATAAGAAACTTCTCAAGTTTAAAAAATAATTCTAACTTTCTCGAAGCCATTAGCAATCAATCCTGGTCCAATGTGTATAATGTACCAGACAGCAAATCTAAATTTAAGGAATTTTACGGAACACTTAAATATTACTTTGATAAAGCTTATCCCCTCTGTATGAAATCTATATCTAAAAATGGTCAAAAAAAAATAAATAATTCGTACTTTAAAAGCTGGTCTACTTACATTCATGACCTACATAAATTGTATATTAATACAAAATCTCAACAAATATTGGAAAAACTAAAACTAGAACGGAAAAAATTCAAGAAATCCCTAAATGAATATAAAAAAAATCTAAACCATTCCATAATTAACAATTCAAAAAACAAAACAAAAACTACTTTTGCCATGTTTAAAAAAGTTACTAAACAGGGTAACAGTAATTCCAACTATACAAAACCGCTGAATATAAAAGATAATGATCAAATAATTACTGATCCAGCTGTACTTGCTCATAAATTCATAGAATCATTTCAACCACCGGACTTAATAAGAACTACCAAGAATCCTAACTTTCACACAGTTACCAAAAAACTATTTAATAACACTATGTACCTCAACCCAGTATCAGCCGATGAAGTCAAAAAAGTAATAAATGCCCTACCAAACAAACATGCTTGTGGGATAGATGATATTCCAATATCTGTGATAAAAAATGTTTGTGATTATATAAGCGAACCTTTGGCGCATATAATAAATCAGTGCTTCTTAGATGGATATTTTCCAAACGAGCTGAAATCAGCAAAAATCATTCCGATTCATAAAAAAGGCAGTACAGGAAACATTAACAATTATAGGCCTATTTCTATATTGCCTTCTCTCTCGAAAATTTTCGAAAAAATCATATATAATAAATTAATTCACTTTATTCGAGTTAACAACATATTATCATCAACGCATCATGGATTTGTACCAAACCGCAATACGGAATCTGCATTATTCAATTTTATGAATTCGTTATTATCCCAAATAGATAATCAGCAACAGTGTGCAGGCATTTATTTTGACTTATCAAAAGCCTTTGATACAATTAATTACGAAATATTGCTAAACAAATTGGCGAAATATGGTATTAGAGGCCAAGTAAACCAACTTATAAAGTCATATTTATATGGGAGGACACAACAAATCTTTTTAAAAACTACAGCAAATAATATTATTACAACACAAAAATCCGGCGTCTATGAAATGAAAAAAGGGGTCCCGCAAGGTTCAATTTTGGGCCCAATCCTTTTTCTATTATATGTGAATGATCTTTATGAATACATAAGTAACAACATCTATCAATTCGCAGATGACACCTCCTGTATGGTGAGTAGCTCTAGTGTTCCAAAATTATCCCATAAAACACTCACAACTATCAATCAAATGACAAAATATTGTGAGCAGAACTGTCTCTTATTAAATGTGGAAAAAACAGCTATACTAACTTTCAAAAACACAGGACATCTACAGTTAGGGGATATTATTATTCAGCAACCTAATGAAACTAAATTCCTAGGGTTAATTTTAGACACAAAATTTCACTACAGGGAACATATACATAATCTGATAAATAAAATAAATATTGCTTCCCATGTCATTCGTGTACTCAAGGAAGAACTATCCATCGAGACAATCAAACAGTTTTACTATGCTTATGTTCAGTCTTTAGTAGCATATGGTATCATATTCTGGTATGCCTCCCCTGATTGGAATAAAGTCTTTGTGGCACAAAAGAGAGTCTTAAGAACTATTTACAACTTATCAGCCCGACAATCATGTAGGTCATTCTTTAGGAAGTTCGATATAATGACAGTTACCTCTTTGTATATGTATAAGTTGATTATGTATGTCCGACGAAATCAAAGTAATTTTACAAAGAATGGAGATCTTTACTCCAAGATGACAACACGAGGTCATACTTACCTAAGTGTACCAAAACATAGGACAACTTGCTTCGAAAAGGGACCATATTACAGAGCGATACAAATATATAACACCTTGCCCTTGTCATTAATAAATATCTATGAAAATAATAGATTCAAACGCGAAATTAAAAAATATTTTATAAATAAGGAGTACTATAGTCTCGACGAGTTATGAATTTTATGTTATTCTGCTGTCTCATTTGACTAATTTTCTGTATGTACATAATATATTGTGTAGAATGTTTATACACACATGCATAATATCTATGGTCACATATTTATGTTTATTTTTATGTTTATGTTACTGTTCCGTGTGTTTTGTTTCTATATTTGACGTGTTCAATGATCTTTATTGATCCTAATGAATAAATCACAATTATTATTATTATTATTATTATTATTATTATTAATTGTCGGGGTGTCTAGTTCTCGAGGAACGTTAATACAGTATAATGTAAGTACAAACATTCCGCCTATTAAGGTAATAATCCAGAACCTACACGGCCAATTTTCGCGTGCAAAATACTAACTAGAACCATCAAAGGAAATTTTGTTGCTCAAAAGTCCAGGTGAAATTAAACAGAAAATTATATGTTACGAACCAAATTAATTTTTAATATGTATATAATCATATTACGATTTAGCCAACACTCCAGAAAGTCATTTAAAGGCGTGACGGTGCAGTAAAAGTTATTTTGTTTGCGAGTTTCAGTGTTAGAATAATATTTTCTCTTCCAGCCCTTAGAAACCTCGCACAAAGTTTTTTCGGCAATTTCGTATTTCCCGTTATCGTTATACCCACCGTCGGTTTGCAGCCGTTCGCAAATAAAATAATTAGGTGTGGAACAATCCCTGTCGTTCCACATAAAAGCCGAAGCCAAACTGGCCGACGCTGAGGGAAGCGAGTAAATCCTCCTAACTTCCACGCAGTCCTGCTCGCTAAGGCCATCATCGTTGGGTTGACGATTGTAATGGCCATGTTGAGGCCAGCCGAGGAACCAATCTGAAACAAAATGCGCTCTCTTAGTAAACTTTTCCGCGTGCCCTTCGCAAAGGTTCCGTTCGATACGAGCCGGTTAAAGAAGTGCTATCCGAGGAAACAAACAAAACAAAAATCAGATCGGCATACTGCTAGACTTAAATCGGATAAAAGCTACCCATCATCTTATCGGCTATTTTTGGAGCTTTCGGCTGGAAAGCGGCTTTGGTGTGGCGTTGGGCAAATAAGAAATAAATTGTTCGGGGATTCAGTTAAAAATAATGAAATGTAAAACCGGGAGAGAGTATAACCTTGGCCTGCAATTTTTTAGCTGGCACTGCGCTCAATGATTTGATATTAATAAATAACGGGAATGAGTAAGGTGCCTCTGCAGGAACAGGGAACGTTGATGTGATTATCGCTCGTATTTTTAGAAATATGGGTTGTTGGGTTGTTCATTCAAAATTAAAAAAGCGCATGGGAATGTGTCTGGTATTTATTACGGCTATTTTTATGAAATTATTTCGACATAAAGACCGACATTGGCCATTTTTGTATGTAAGCAAGAGGCGCTGATGACGCCTATGCTATTTTAGTACTATAAAAATAACTAGATGTCGCACGTTTCGTCAAATTCATTGTTCAAAAAGATGTAATATAATTTTGTTTTCAAATCGAAGTGTCAATATTTGGACATTATAAAAAAAAACGGGGTACTGCCAAGTTCACCATAATTATAAGCAGACGGTGTTTACTTAGTGTCAATGAATGTATCTACATCTAGGTGGCATTCTGTGATGAGTCAAAAGTTACAAAACTAAACTTATGAATCACCAAACGGGAGAAAAATAAATTTGTTTTTTTTATATGCTGTAATGTTGTTTGTACACTCCTCCGTTTTTATGTTTTCTCAAGAAAAGTAAAAAATGTATAAATAGAAATTTATTATTTTAAAAAATATTATCTCAGTCAGTGACAAAAAAGAGAAAACCTGACCTACCCTGTTTTTTTTTGACCGTTCATCGTAGATGTTCTCTTTTGTTTGCATTCATTTAAAAATAATGACAACTAATTTAGAACCATTAATTCACGATATTAATAAAATTTTAACGATCTCTGTGACTCCTATAACTGTTAAAATTTTTCAAACTCCCCCGTTGTTGACATAAAATTCTATTTTACAACCGAATCTATTTCGTGATTGTGATGTGTCCTCCGTTTGTATTGCCTCGTTCTGTTTGTTATTATGAAATTATGGGTTAGATTTTTTAAATTTCCCATCATAGTTAAAATGTTCAAATGCATGACATTTTTCAGAATCAAATTTTAAATAAGAGAATTAGACCACTTTTAAAGGCATTTTTTTTTATTTTTTTAAATCGCATCTTCTTAGTTGTCCTTACTTGATTTTTAATTGTACTGTTGGTTGATTTCAATTAAGCGGTCACGTTAATTATAAATATCGATTGATTTTTGAGATTTCTGTTCTAGTTAGCCCATATAATCATTTTTAAATATAAAAATTACAAAGTTATCAACCATTATTTCTCATCTGTTAAAAATATCATGTTTCTGTTGCAGACATTTAAGCTCAACCGTTAAGGGGTGCGTATGCCCTGGGGAACATTATCGCGATTTCAGGGATTCAATTTTAAAAATATGAGATATATCTCTTTAAAAATAAGATTTCGAATTACCGAACTTGATTCCAAGGGACGTGTTAACTAAATTTTAGTTTTTAATTATTATTAATAGTTGAATGGGGTGTAAAATATTTAAATACTTTGACCATTTTAGATTGTTATTATTACATTGTTGGTTAATCATAAAAATAGGTCTGCCGTTTCTGTCTACCTGTCGTCAGTCTGCTAATTTTTATTAGGTAGAACCGGTCGGACCGATTGTTAAATTTTAGATGTGTGTTAGGAATATCGTATAGATGTTAAAATGCGAATCTGTGAATTGCAAATTTTTTTTTTATTTTATAAAATAACACTCTTGTAGTTGTGGTTTATGTATCCGCCTTGACCCTTAAATTTTTATTTCATAAACCGTTTTATGTTTAGAAAAAAGTGTTGGAATTTGAATTTAACTAGCATTTACTACGCTAAATGTTTAGGTGACGTCATCAAATTGTTGGTGGGGATGATCAAATAAATTTTGTTTGTGTTTTACCACCTACAGGATATTTCTAAAATACATGTAAAATTTGACGACAATCAGTTCAATATTTGTCTATCTAAAAAACTCGACACAGATGAGAGACGATAGACGAAGAGACGGATAGACGGAAACGGGGGACCTATCTTTTTCATACTTTAGGAGCCATTAAACGCCAGAAAACATAAAAGTAGTCGTTCGCCGGATGGACTCTATGGTAATAGTTCCCTAGATTACGCTCGGAACGTAAAAGTTCAAAAGAAAATTTATGTTTTATTTTGTTGGAATTATTTTACTCATTTTGTTTAATTTAAACTACATTTAAAAAGGCCATAAATATGCATTATATTTTCGTGATTTGAAAAGAAAATTACAAAAATTAAGAATGATTTAAATAAATTTTTTTTTTTTGAAAAATTCGGTTTATTTAAATTATGATCTAAAGTCCTGATTACTATTAAGAATTACAGATTCATATACGAAAATTGAGAAAAGATTTTTTTTTCTGAAACTTCAAAATTCTTTTATGGTGATTTTAAAATTGCAGTGAAAAATTAATAAGTAGATTAACGATCTTAGGAATCGAAGATAACAGTATTAGTCACCAGAATGAAGAGGGGGTGGGTGGGTGGGGCTAATTATTACTTAACGAAGACTGTAAGAAAAAGTTAAACTTAGCCCCGCCCACCCACCCACCCTTTTTTTCTTCTGCAAAAAGAAATGGCATTTTTTTTATAGCAAATAGTATAATGAAAAAAATACGATTCGCGTTCTTTTTTTCTTTTTTTAACAGTCTAAGTACTAATAGTTTCTTGCCACTTTGCACAAGAACATATAATTAACTCCGCCCACTTACCCCGCCTTCATTTGGTGACTCATTGTATCTGAATGAAAGGGATTTTATATTGATGACCAGAAATTAAATCATCAAAATGAGAATAAGGCGGGTGGGCGGGGCTAGTACCTGCCAATATAAAACTGAACAATACTTAGAGTAGTCTCTGGAATGAATTTTTTCAACATTTTTACAAGAGTTTCAAAAATCAAATTTTCCTCTCGTGAACTCAGATATTACGATCACATCGCATTACATGGAAAGTGTAAGGAAAGGGTATGGCATTTGTCAAAATCAGTCTTATCTTAGCAAGTACTAGCCCCGTCCACCCGCCCTTTTTTTTCTTACTATTTTTTTTATATTCTCTTTCTTTCAATATGTTGGTGTATAGAAAATAAATAAATATAGAAACTTCTTTACTAAAAGATGAAAACAAAATAAGAGCGTTCTATTTGAAAAAACTCAATTTTATTTGTACCACAACAAAGCCACAATAATTCCATATAATATTTTACCAAAGTTTTAAAAAATAACCCTATTGCGATTTCTTTTTCTGAATTCTTTCATTGATAAAAAGATGAAGAACATTGGAATAATGTATTGGAAGTTCAAAAATAAACTGTGGTTATAAAGCCTAAAATGAGTTCAATAAAAATACGTAAAAATATACAGGATAGCCAATTAAAAAAACAAACTAAGTTGTGTGTCACTCCTTATACACAGAACACTCCAAACAGATCAAAAAAAATTTAGTATACGGTTCTTCAAGAAACGTACAACTTTAGTGTTCAACATCGAGGAGCCCGTGCTTAGTGACTCACCCTGTATATTCTAGGTGTTCGGAAACATTTTTTTTCAGTACCTATGTATCCATGATAAAGTAAAATTTTATCTGAAAAAATGGACCCAAAAAAACTGTTATGTATATACTAACACGATGATCGTTGCCGAGGTGATATACGTTGGGCTTGGTAGGTATGTAGGTCTCCTACCTATGCAATAGCTCTCCCCATTTTATCGATAGTTTAATCAGTTTTATCTTACGACTGTTCAAGTGCGAATTTTCAAGAATTCTCTGATTTATTTAAAGAAAGAAAGACCATTAGAGAGTTTAGACTCACCTTTGCAGGTTTTTTAAATGTACCCCCAACGATCAGCTCAATCAAGAATTGCGTTCGTTCAAATAGCGTAAAATTTTGAATGCCAAATTTTATTTAAATTTTACAAAATAACATACTCCTATACTTGTGGTTTATGTATCCACTTTGAGTTTTTCTCAATAGGCCGTTTTTTTTAGAATAAAGTGTTGGAACATACATGTGTTAAATACCATGTGATCAGCCTCGTGGTGATCTCTGCCAGATTTTCAATCCAGTTTTTAGCGTTATTCCGCGGGATTTGTGAATTGGATTTGTTAGACTCTACTTCATGGGCGAGGGAAATTCTGTTTAAATAACCTTAGATGAACTTTTTAATCTTAGTAGGAGTTGTCAGCGGCCATGTTCCTTTTTATCAGTGCTCACTGAGATCGTTCACCCAGAAGCAGTTCTAGTACCTTACAACGAGCTAATTTAATTCTTTTGAGATGTGATGAATTTTTTCCAAATTTAATATTCTAGTAATTCTCTTTTAAGTGTATTGAATGAGCGACAGGAACGGAGGCGTATTTGTTTCCATTATGAAGCAACGTTACCTTTAAACTTTGCTTTACAGAAATTGTAAACACCTTTGACTTCCTTGTTGCTTAGGATGTATACAAGAACTCTACGATATTAACACTACCTGTTAAGTAATTTCCAGTAACATATTCTCCTTCACGTAGTAAATATCGTAAAAATGAAAGTTCTTTCAATCGTTTGGTTTTGATTTTTGTGCAAAAGTGTTCGAAATTTGTTCTCTGAATTTCAATCTCATACGGGATTATTTAATTTCTTACCGAGCGTAAGTTAAAGAAGATTGCAACAGCCTCCATCGAGCGACTGGTTACTTTCATGTTTTTCGGCGTTTCATTACTGTGTGAAAACGTTGA